AAGAATATATATATTTTTATTTATTTATGTATTCATACATTTAACATATTTATCAGCGCACATGGACGTTGATTTAACATTACTTTCCACGCTTAACTACATGGGTTTATTTTCAAGTCCTGTCTGTCTTCACTCACGAACACTATCCAAGATACATAAATTTCTCTAAATACTTCAGTTCCTCTTCAGTAAGCGACAAAACACAGTGAATTACAATCCGCACCCCCAAAAGCCTCAGCTTCACTTAGGCTGACCTGCAAACACGACGGGAAAGACACTAGTAGACTCGAGAAAAAGGTGTCTCTGTTCAAAAAGGAAGATCATATGGAGTCCTCTAATTATTGGGAAATTACTTGACAGCCCCAGAGGAAAAGTCTACAAAAGGGTTAGGAAAGTTAGCAGAACAGTCAACTCCAAGATCCATAAAGAATGTGGCTTCAAGTCAGACAAAAGCACCTCCAATTATACCATAGTCTTGTCAGATTATTGAGAAACCGTGGGAGTTCGCTCATCCGGCTTACACGTGCTTTGTTGAACTGGAGAAAGTCGACGACAAGATCCCGTTAAACAGAAACTGAGCGCGTGTCAGTAAACATATGAGGTCTATGGCTAGTTGATACGAGACATCCAACCACTATATGTTGGCAGAAGGTACTTTGTCAGAGTAAATGACGTTAAGTCGAGACATTTCAACGTTGGCACTGGTTTTCGCCGAAACTGTCATTCTCCTGTTAGCGTTGTTCATAGAAAGGACAGTGACGAACATCCTTACGGGCAAGGAGCGTAAGTGACGTGGTGACGAAAAGTTTGCTGTCGGCAAATGACCTCTCTTTGCTGATATATTCCCAAACTCATCTCCAACGCTCTTTGGAAAAGTTTGCAGTCAAGTACTACGTAGACGGCATGTGTGTGAACTGTACAAAACTAGACGATACTAGCACTTTCTTGATACTGTTCATGCTGAGCCCTGCAAATCAACAGAAGAGTAGTGCAACGAAGCGAAAAGTTCACGTACCTCGGGATAGCATTGATCAAAGATGGGGAAATGTAAGGACGAGATTGTCCGACGAATTGAAACTAGCGACGTTCTCCATGATCCTGTGACTACAGCAAAGCCGAGTTTAAGGACGAAACTGTCTTTGTAAAGTCGATTTTATACCGCAGTCTGCTATAGTCATGAATCATAACTGAAAAAAACTGATTTCGAGTACAAGCGGCAGAACTGAGTTTTCTGAATTGTATCGATGGGCTGCCGCATTTTGAGAAAGTACGGAATTCCGACACTAGAGAAAATCTTGACGTACAGGTGCTGTTTCAAGAAGTCTCAGCTAAATGATCTGGGTACGTTCTGCGAATGCCTCCAGAAAGGAAGGCGAAACAGCTATTATTTGCTCGATCGAAAGAGTAGGGGACACTGACTGAAGCTGCTGCCTCCGTTACCTGAAAGGACAAGCGACAATCGAATAAACGCTATACAAACTGCAAAAAACTGAGAAGTAATGACCTGTAATTAAGTATGAACGAACAAAACAAACTGTTCATGTACTTACTCGGGGTTCTTAATTTCAACCTCCTTTATCGCGATCGTGCGTTGCGATGTCAAGTCTCTGCCAGCAAACACCGTTCCAAATGTTCCTTTACCAAGTATAACCTTTTGACCGTTGCTGTCGACCTCGAATTCATACTAAACGATGCATCCATCATAATAAAGAAATGAAAACTAAACTCCTTTAAACTATCTAAAGCAGTAAAATAACGTACAATGATATTAACGGAAAAGTGGGAGCGCCTTTCTGAAAGGGCAAGTTTTCGTCTGATAAATTTTAAAGACAATAACCTCAGTGGGTAGGAGAAAAAGTAGGTATGAAGTTACTAAGCAAATCATATCATGGCGTTTTGTGTTTAACACAAAACGTAGTTCTTTTGTAAATATGATTCAGTGATGCTATAAACAGTATGCTTTTTTCGTTGGCTTAAACATATTTCAAAACGTATCTTAAATGATATCTGAAAATGATCTTGATGCTGTGGAGGATCTATATAACGTATGAATGCAACAATCAGGTATCTCATATGTATTAAGTGACCCTTGAAATTTTATGCGCCAGAGAGAATTTTTCACTGGCATTTTAAAGAAGGAATAAAACATATGCTCGTATTATCATGAAGAAGAATGAAGACAGTCACGTGAAAATAGTGCCATAATATCGCAGTTTTGGCCAGCGAAAAACTTTAGATTCAAATAAGCGTTTTTCTTGGCTTTATGTTATTAACAGGCAATGCAGTAGAGAAACTCGTCTAATCGGGTTGCCAGCTCTTGCACAACAAAAAATGTCATACCGTTACGTTCGAAGAATCGATGCTCTCACCAAGTAGCTTACAACCGGCAAGATTTGAGGTTATTTCATCAACGAGGTCGAGAAACCTAAAATGCGGGAATCACTACGCATCATCTTAAGACCCCGAATGGTGGCATGACGATAAAAAAGGAACCTACACGACCTACCTTTGTCGATGTTCATCAGTTGGAAAGAAGAGCATGAAGTCGTCAGAATTCTGGTACACATACAGAAACACACCGCGTTCGTCGCGCTTTGCCGCACTGACAGCACGAATCAATTCTGATGGGAAACACCATTGGCACAGCTTTGTCTTGTTCTTTGTCACAACGTGCCACAGCGAAAGCGACTTATTTTCCTGGTTAACCGATACGTAACTTGGAATGTACAACTAAAAGCACTGAATGCACTGAAATATGTAAAACAAAAACCAAGTCACGGTTATTTATAAGCAGATATCAGGCGCAAGATAGAAACAGTAAATAAATGTCAAAGAATAGAAAATTTAAGCAAGAACACAAATGAAGTTCAAAACTGACACATTCGTTAATTATGTCTCAGGACTACCCTCATGAAGGTATAGGAGCTGCTCTTGACAGCATTTCATGTGAAAAGTTTCAAAGACCTTTCGATAATTACATTGCAGAGCTGATAATGTGAAATCTTGATGCTGGACATGTCCAGATTTTGGTAACATCATTTAATGTAACAATTTAAGCAAAGACTGCTTAGAAATGAGTGATATCGCAAACTACATGATTGACTTCGACTTGATACCAGTTTTCGCAGCTGGGCGAGTTGTAATACGATCAGATTCGGACATCATAAGTCAAGCACGATTGGATTCACGATGTTAAATCGAGACGTCTTTCTAAGATCTTACGGTAGACGTTGTAGTTATACCAGCCAGCTCTTCTTCGCCTAAAAAAATCATCCTCAAGTCGTTCCGCAGGCTGATTACTCGTCCAAGGCACAGGTAGCTGAAGACCTTCTTAAGCTTTTCCTTTCCGCTGAGCACGTTACCTTTTGCGCAAATTTTCTGTTACCTTGCAAAATTTTCAAGACTTCTTCACTGGCAGCAATAGATCACACCACTGGGGCCGACGCAACCTTCAGCACAGGTGGCACATATCGTCGACAAAATTTTAATGATTTAGTCGTTCTTAGTTTAAACGCAATCTGACAGTCTTCCAATCCATTTTCTTTACTGACTATTCAAGCGTTACAGTTTTGGGAAGATTGTATGTCCACATCTGACTCGCCTCCTAACAGAAATTTGAATTAGCCAATAGAAGAGGTTTATCATATCAGTCCTTCAGTTACAGTTTCATGCTTCCAATAGGTCGACGAATTCCAGTATGAATCTCTACAAAACGCATAGAGACTGATCATCTGCACGCAAAGCCTTGGATATGGACAAAGGTGCCAAGTTCCCGTTCAGCTTGGCTACAGAGCACACCTTGCAAAATCTCTTTGTATAAGGACAACATGACATTCATTCTTCATTGCTATCGCCTTATATCCAAGCATTGATTGCCCATCATCTTACCCTTTTTAAATTCATGAAACGCTTGCGTAGCCACTAGCGAAACCGAGCCGAGTGTACAGTATCGAAATAGCAATCGAAGCCTCGCTTTTCTTGTTACCCGTTCCCAAAAACGTACAGGGGGCAAAGACGCGTTCATCTAATGGTTATCATGAACAAAAATGTACTCACTTTGCTAGGCTCCATGCTTAAAACGGGAAAACGGGTATCGATGCATTTCTCATCGGATTTCGACGTTTCCACGAAAAAATCCATCCAGAAAGAAAATTGTTTGTAATCGGCGTAACTTTCTGGAGAACGAGGAGGAATGCCCTCGCGAAACTGTATCAACAGCTTAATATTGCCGACCGTTGACTTTAAAAACCTATCATCAACGTTCCGTAAGTTGCAATTCAAATTTACAAAAAAATGCAACAGATGTATTAAATAAGCATGCCCCATAAAGGAACATAATAATTTCTTATATGCAGAAAAATTCCCTTACCAAGCAGGGGGCTTTAGCATGAACATATGAAGAGCTGCTTGGCAGGCATTTGGATAATTTTCAGCAAGCACGCTAATTTCAAAGAACGTCGCTACGTCCCAATAGTCCTTCATGTTGGCCAATGAACCCTTTCGACCCAACAGGCTGCTGAGCATCAAGGCTGAAAAAAGAACCGCATGTGTGTTGCAAAGTTGAAACGAATAGTTATCACTGCCAAACCGATTTGCTGCAGTTCCGAGCTGTTCTGAAAAGTCTGTCCTGCGACCGACAGCAATGTTGCGAGATTAATACCCGCGTATTCGTTCGGCTGATTTTCAAAGCCTTTCCGATACCTAGCAGCAACATCGTTAGGAGCTAAATCGAATGAAACAAAGCAGCTAGCTTCTTGTTTTAAGTATTAGACTGCTTAGAGCATTTTTCGGCTGGTTCACGTAACAGATAGCGGTTAGCGACCAGAAAAAAGCGAGCATAGGAGCAAAATATGATGGAATATCGAAGTACGGTGGAACGGCGGTGGTCGACCGATATCCTCTCAAACGGCAGTCCCGTATGCTTGTTATAAATAGAAAAGGTCTAATGATGAGGCAACGACAGGCAAGAGATAAGTGAATTCCTTATGTTTCTACAACAAATATGTCTATGCAGACAAAACCAGATGGCAGGACTGAGGGCCATCGTCTGCACGTATTGTTGAAAAAAAACTTACTGAATTACTATAGCCCCATCAAAGTGATTTAGGTTACAAACCTTTCATCCTGTATCACACCAAAACAATATTTTTTCACGCTGAAGTTGTTGTTAAGTTTCTGCCTTCAACTCAAACGGCGACATAACCTTTGTAATACGCCGTCCGCAAAGACCGCCGACAATTCTGTTACATAAAATTACGTTAAACAGAACGCGCTTCGTTTTATTGTATTTCCTGATGCAATCCACTGACACCGTTTTATTATTCCGAGCATGTTCAGAGAGAATGCTTAACAACATAAACGGAATAAGCGCTTCCAAACAAACTAGCTGGACCGTAAAGCAGGTCGGCTATCAGAAACGGAAGGAAGCATGACATATACTCTAATAGAACGATAACAAATAATCAGCATTTCAGTGCGCACTGCATCATGCGGCAACATAAGGAAGTAGATATCTGGTCAAGAAAATCTATCAATATACAATTATTAGTAAGGGCTTGAGCTCGTAAAATAGGCTGACTGACGAAACAACCCATTTCCAATCTAAGAAGAATTCTGCACACTTTAACTTTAGGCTATCACGTCCAAATCCTTCCGATACAAACAAAACTCTGAATGGTTAGTGAGTCCATGGTTTTTGTTAAACATAAATTGCGTAGTTTTAGTGGCCCTTTGAACTCGCTTGACTGACGGGAGGCTGATCCGCTAGAAAATTCTCGAGCATCTGTGACCATGCGACCTAAAAGAAATAGTGGACCATGAAATCAGATGAATGAGTGGAACTTCCTTGCGTCAGCTAACTATTAGTGCCAGCAGCAGACACTACTTGATCCGATAAAAAAAGTCAACTTTCTATGCGCTGTCACCCTCTGTGCCTGGCATCTTTTTCGGTTTGGAGGACAGCATCATCTAAAGATTGTTCTAAAGGTCAGGATACCATGGTAGTGGTCTCAGTGTGGCTTGGCTTCCAAGACATAAACATACTAGGCATTTCATATAATCAGGCAAAAGATTAACCGATCACTTACCCGCCTGCCGCGGGGTTTATCAGAAAAAGCCAACCATGTAATTCTGTGTGACATCTTGATCACGTACTCAAGCCACTGCAACTTCAGTCCCTATTTTGGAGAAGAAGTGGCTATCGTGGTACTGCATCACTGACCGCTACGTTAAGAAACCACAGTTTAAAGCCTTATTTAGAAAGTCATTTAATGACGACTTTTCTGGCCTCATATACAGCCTAAGGCAGAGTTGGAATTTAACAGTAGGCTATTTCACTGCTTAGTTCCTTGAATATTCACTTCACACTCGGAATTAACGGAGCTCCAAACGGATACTCTTCAAATACAGACTGGTTTAATGAATAATGAAGTCGCACATTAGATATTCCTTAGGAACCACTGCGACGTTTAATGGTATTCATGAATTGTGATCGACACTGGCCTCGTCCCGCAAAAGACATCAGAATGGCTTTTTTAATTTCTGTTGTAGAATGAAATAATCACAGTGTGGTGCTTTTCAATGGACGCGTTTAAGAAATTTGCGATGCTAGACAGTACGTAGGAGTGCATGGAGTTTCGGAGGGCTTCGATGTTACTGATGCCATAGAACGACCGAGCGGGATTGAGACATCCCTATCGACAGACCACTACTTGAAAAGAAGGTAAATAATTAGCCCTGGGAAAGTAACAGCGAGTGACTTATGCTAAACTTTACAATTCGAAAAGCTTTAAAACAACCAGCAAGTGTTAGAAACACCTGCTAAAACACTAGGACGTACAGAGAAAACAAAAATGCAAAAGAAATACCAGTAAACAGCTTTATCCCTGGCGTCGTTATCAGTAAACTCTGATTCGATAAAGCGATCTTTATAAATCCGTCCAGCCAAACACAAGAAGTCCGGTACTTGGTTTTCCTGCTTCTCCACTGTTTTCAAAATGATTTCTAACGCTTTCTCTCTATCACTACCGATGTTTCGCCTAAAAATTAACAACAGTGAGCAATCTGTGTTAGTGGATTGATTGTTCTAAGTTAACAGTAAACGCAAGATAATAAAACAGCTTTATCAGGCTGATAGACCCATAGCCAAGATCTTACTTTCCATATCACAAATATCTGCAAAGCTGTGATCAGTGAGGAAGTTAGTTTGAAAAACGTCAAGAAGCCATTCATTTCTCCCGAAAGCATATGGTCCTAGCGATGAAAAGTAATGTTTCCCACCATGAGTAGGTGCTTAGTGCCTTGACAGGGGCAGCGGCATTTTCTTATACATTTCATAACAGAACCGTCAATTTAGTGAAACTTGATCTTGCTTTCTCGTAAACCAATAACCGAGAAGACAAATCTCGTATAAAACTATCTAAACAATTCAGAAATGTTGAAGATTTGCAATTTGAAAAAAAATTTCTCGCGATCATAGCATTACATTTGATTTAGAGTAATTGCCAATGAAGTAAAAAATAACGTTCGTACAATTAGCCGTTTCTTTATCTATGTGTCTACTACTGTCACCTCAGTGTAACGTCGGCCTCTGTTACGTTTTCATGATTGTGAGCTGTTTATAACGCCCTTCTTTTGATGAATTTAGTTATAAAACGCAGACTTCTATTTCCATGCCGTCAGCCATGAGTGACTCTATTAAAGACAGAGTCAACAGCAGCTATGTGGTAAGCACAGAATTTAGTCACCGGTATCCTTCTCACAGAGTGGTACTCATTCGTTAACTTCTATGGGGTCGAACCCCGAATCTTTCAATTCTGAGTCGGATACCTTATCGACTGAGCAACCCCGGCTAATTTCTTTATGCCACAGCTGGCAGCTACCATCGGAAGGCAGAATTAGCTTCCATCATGTATGAGTCAATGTCAATTAAGCTCCACAGCATGACCGTAATGATTAATCCTATGAAGTCTGCTGGACGACAGACGGTGTCTTAATTTTGGCATGTTATACTGCATCTGCGAAAGAAATACTTCTAATTGACTGCAAGTCAACCTCGATTAGGACTTTTGACCTCCGTAGCGGCGGTATCTGTGATTCAGATGTTTTATTCTTGCAATGAATTATCAAACCATGAAATTCATCGTTCCTGGAAACAGAAAATGACTCCGTTTTTCAGTTCTGGCTAATACATTTTAGTCCGTTACTCGTTGTAACCTTCCAACCTTGAGCATGTGGCGCAGACAGCGCTTATATGAAGCTCGCGTGTTTTCAGCAAGGTGGTCGTTTCCAAGCAGTACAATATGATCCAGATGACAAATGAGGTGAAGATCTTCGTTTTCGTCATCAACTGGACGCTCTCATGATACCAGGTCGTTTCTCTTAGCTTTCAGATTTGGGAGAGATTGGCCGCTGCCAAAGCAATCTTTCCATTAATGTCCATGTCGCAGCGGCCGTCGTTCATAATTATAGGCTCACTTGTACCACTTCCAATCTTTCTCTATGCAAGGAGATCGGTCCATTCTGTTTCCTCTGTATTCCCAATCACTTACGATTTCATCCGATTGAGTTTAAAGCCTGTTCTTTCAGCGATGTTTTGAGCCGTCTCTACTAGTAGATGTAGTCCTACTCTGGTATGTCTGACCAGTATGATGTTGCTGCGAAATCGAGATACGTGAGGTGTATGGCGTGTTTAACCTACCGTCAGTCCTTCGCAAGTGAAATTCTCGACACTTTGCCTCATCAGACAGTCAATGATAAGAATGAGGAGAACTGACGAAGAGAGGTCGCTTTGTCTCAGACCGTTTTTGATAGTTCGTCCCGCTTTCGCAGCACATACAGTGTCACTGTACATGTTCTCAAGCATATCACCAGATCAGATTGAATACCGAAATGCCCAGGATCTTCCATATCATGGGACGAATTACGCTGTAAAATGCAGCTTCGAAGTCGGTGAAAGTTGCATTCCAACGGAAATGGTATCTATGACGCCATTCTAAAATCATGCAAAGCGATAGTACGTGGTCACTGCAAAAACAGCCCTTTCAAATTCCCGCGTGATTTTTTTCATTCTTGCATCTATTCATCAAGCATTTTTGAATAATACGCGAGAAGATCTGCTCAGGTCTTGACTGCAGGGTTAATCCTCTTTAATTTGCAGTTTGAATGAGCTGTCGCCTGTGAAAACAGGAATAATAAGTCTCTTCCTCCCGTCAGTTGGCATTTGAGAAGACGTCCAAATTTCTTTAAGCATTTCTTCCAAGGCTTTCAAAACAGGGGTTCCGCCAAATTTAAGAAGTTCAGCCGGTGTCTGATCAAATCCAGGTGCCTTTCCAATCCCTAGACACCCCTTTGCGCGGATGATTTTAAGTTTCTGTTGAAGACTCTGTATGAATATCAAGTAGTTGTAAGAACTGCCGCCTAACTGTACACTTTCACACAACCAAGGCACATTAAGCAATTAAGCAATTTGCTGAAGTGAAGTTCTTGTCGATTAATGAGTGATCACAATAGTTGCTGATCACAGTGTTGGCAATTCTACTTTTTCCAGTCAGTAGTCATAACCCCTTGATACAACGATGCCATGTCCCCTCGATTCTCCTCCCCTTCCAGATTCTCCGCTGTGTGTTATCCAGTGGACTTACTTGTGGTGGCAACTTGCGTTAACCGCCTTGACCAACCTACGATCCGCTTTTTACTCAGCAGAACGACCTTGCAGGGCTAACTGTTTCACTGAATTTCGTTATCCACGCAACTCTTGGGCTTCATCGGAAATCTAAGCCTGTCTCCGTCTTCTTTTGTGTCCAATGGAGTTCTCTACCGCGGTAACTTGGCACTTTTTGCGCTGTTCGTATTTTTTTCAGTGCCTGAATCTGGGGCTTCAAGCTTACCACAGTCTTTTATCAAAGATTTTACTATTGTTGACATCGGCCTATTTCGTCCATCATCTTCATCCTCTCAACAACTAGTAGGAAGGGTCTAACCGCTGCCTTGATTATTGCTAGTTTTAGACGCAAGTAAGCAACAACAAAGGCAGTGGTCTCTGTTGATGTCAGCGTCACGTCGAACTCCAATGCTGGATAAAAAGCTGCACCAATGGCGAATGACCAAAATATGGTCGATCACTGTTAGGGGGAAGTCCACGCCAATTTGTGGGAATGTGGGAAGTGATTTTCTGACTATTCCGAGAATTGACCTTACACAGTGGGCGTTAGTCGTGACCTCGGCTGGCAACATTTTGGACACATTATCGATGATCCCATGAGGGCGAATGAAGAAATGAAGATGACTTAGTTTTTCAAGTCAGTTGTTTTAGTTTATTCAGCGAAGTTAATTGTAAATATCTTTTCAGATAACACCGTTTTAAATTTATCCTTAATGTTTCTGGAAAGCAGTGCAAAAAACTGATTTTCAGGAACATTTTAAATTAGCCAGGTTTATGTAATTCAATAATTTTTTTTGGTCCCTTGAATTTAAAATGAAGTATCTTTTACTACAATCTGGAAAGGGTTTGTGAAATATCTGTTGGAACATAGAATGATTACGCTAGTTTGCAAAAGGGTAGCGGTAGAACTTTTCAAAGAACCAACAAACCCAGCATTTCACCGGTGTAGCACATTATGCTGCGACTATTTTTACCTATTCAAAGCAAAGGCGTAATTGAACTGCACCGCTGCTGCCTCGTGAATCTTGCTTTTGGGAATACTGGCTAGGTCTTCCACCAGCGACACCATCGCATCGTAGTTCTGAATGTCCCTTGAGACGAAACGTAGAAGCCAATGTTATAGCGACTGAAACTTTACCGATACGACAATAACATGTTAACAACCGTGTCAACGGACAGTACATCCGGGTCATCAAGTCGAAGGCGCAACTTGTCCAACACTTCACTCAAGTTTTCGGAATCGAATGCCTGCCTGGCCTGCCTCAAATCCAGCAGAAACTTTTCTTTACTATGAGCACTGAAAAGAAGGCGTATTATGCAAGCGACATGGGAGTCTCCTCCCCACAACTGTGATCCCACACCTTACCTTGCATCTATTTGTACATCTTTCAGAAACTTTTTGATCTTACAACGGAACGATGCACTTGAAGTCCCTGACGAAGAAGTTGATACACTGCTGGGCATATTCGACACTATCTGACAATAATCTATCGCAATCAAACATCCTTCCTGAACCATGTAGCCCAGTATTTTGTAATTCGTAAATGGCATCTGAAAAGTTGCATAACATTAATTACAAATACAACAACGAAGGTATAAAAATGATAACAAATTTATTCATTTTAATTAACAGAAACTCTGTCGACACTTTGGAAGGAGATACAACAAGTGAAGAGGATGATCCTCACAACGCTTATAACGATTACCATTACAAAGACAACGATCTTCAAGAACTTTAATTAGTATTCGAGAACATTCCTGATAATGGGTCTTAATCAAGTACATGTCCAGTTAATAACCAAAATCAAAACATCGAAACAAGAATAATGACATTAGCGATAATGATATCGGCCTGAAACATTGAAAACGTACATTGTAAAGAAGAATAACGCATTTTCTACTTTACACCGACATTGCGGTAGTATAAGATATATAGAAATCTAATCGCAGTCATATCCTAGCAATGATATTCAACATTACTGTGAATCATTCACCAGATGAATACGCTCATGAACAATCACGACTTATGCCAGGAGATGATTTCTGCTCAGACCAGATCAGTCAGAAAAGCGTTTGACTTAGTCGAAAGAATGTGGACTGGAGATATGGTCAGATAATTCGCTTACATTCTCCCGAGGTAGATCAAAAAATTCCAGTATGCGAACAAAAAGCAGAAGACTAGGGAATGAAGTGGCCACCATGCATTCAGAAAATATACACTTTGGCGGCAAATATCGTGATTCGATGGAAGTTCATCGCTGCTATTCCCATTATGATCATTCTAATGAGCTGAACTAACATGGAGAGGACGACGATGACGATCATGACAATGATAATGATTATCATGCGGATCATGGTTCTGTAATGGAAATTATTAGTATAACATTCACCTCTACTAATAATTCCATAATACGTCTAATCACTGCTATCAACCTGAATATTAAATATTAAATGGTGCTGTGATTGATATGATACTCATGGACATCATTATCCTGACCTTCATCATAATCAAAGTTTCTGTAATCAGAGCCAGGACAGATTGATCATCACCGTCATGATCATTATCACTGTCCACGCTGTTATTACGTTCGTAATTATCCTCCAATATATCCATCACCATAACAAGTATGGCGATGATCCGTATGATATATATAGTACATTTACCGCTTTATCGTATGATAACAGTACCGCTGTGACTGTAATCATAATACCCTAGCTGCGATTTTTCTTATAGTACTAACGATTATGCTAAAAATCGCCATGAAAATACTCATGATGATCACAAACGTAACTATGAGCAAGATTTTGCCACTGCAATCGTCATGGTCATGGCTATCACTCCTTAAGGTTACGATAATAATGGTGGTTAGTAAGATTATGATCACTGCATTATCATAATCCTAATTGTAATTATGGTAATCATTACACTGATCATCACAGATATGATTAAAAAAATAATAAGCATAGTCCATACGATTTCGACCATGATTAAGGGAACTGCAAGCCCAACTGGGTACAGCTGATGCCATACGTAATTTCATGAAACATCGCCAACGAACTTGAAACTGCAGAATTACCTAATGCTTAAGGAACGTAATGGGCTACCACTCAAACAGGTGAAACGTTAGCGTTCATATTTTGCACTTACGGTGAGAAACCTCATCAATGACTAATTATGGCATGCAAACGACTTGTTCGCCTGCTGCTAGAATTTCTTTTTACCTTGTGAAAAAAAGTGTGCACAAGATTTGAAGAATTTACAGGATAAACCCTGGCGAACTACGAAAATAAAAACACTTTGGTTTTACATTACCATGATGTAGAAAATTAAGGGCGCAATATGCGGCAAATCATGAACAAGAATAATTTCACACGCAACGAAGAGAAACAACAAAAAATAGACCATACCTTCAGCCTGGAAACGCTCTTGTCGTTCGTGTCGTCGCAAAAGTATAGAATGACGTTGTAACTCTGATTCATGCTCTCTCTGACGCCAAGATGGTAACACATCGTACTGCGTTGATGCGAAATGCTCAAATCGACGATCGCCACGTCGGCGTTGTAAAATGCGTCCAAACTTTTGGTTTCGCCAAAGTCTAATTTCTCAAAGGGGATCCTCTGAAACAAAATGAAATAACTTTGCACATCTATCTACACCTAAAAATTCGTTTAATTATTCAGTGAGTGAAATAAGGCGAATTTTCAATCATTGGAATGTCGGTCTCCCTTACGCTTGCATTGCCGAGGTCCAATTGTGGAACGCTTCATTTCATGAAGGATATGGGTCGGCGCTAATCTCCGCTTCCATGCCATCAGTCACGAGTGTCGTTTACAGTTATGTGAAAAACAGCGTGCCTCCCCTTTCTTCCCCAAAAAGCGGTACTCGTTAATCTGTCAGGGAATAAACATCATAACTGTTCGTTAGCCAAACTGTGCCAAATAATGCATGAATCTTCCAATACCAATTCACCGCGTATTGCACCGCCCTCTTGCTCTTAACCGTCAAGACGGGGG